TCGTTTCTTAGTTGTTAACGTCCGAAAAATGAGTTCGTCTGAGCAGATGCCGTAGCAATAGTGACAGGGTAGCATTGCTGGGGGTGGGGGTGAGGTTCAGAATGAAAAGTGTCTACTTACACAAGTCTGTGTAAAAGATTTAGAAATCTTTCAAATGTGGAAAGTAAAGATTGAGTAGCGCCAGCCCAGATATACATTAAATCCTGCATTTCTGGCCCTGTCTGACTCTTGGAAAGATAAGGCATGCCAGGAGGAGTCAGATAGTTCTTAGAGTGATAGACTGAGTCGAGCATAACTCCAGCTTCTTTAGAAATATAAGTTACGCGCTGACAAAACCTTATAAATAATGAACTATTCCGTTTTGATCACGATGAAGGCTTGAAAAGACACATCGGAGACTCTATTTGGATTCAGTGAAAAAAAAAAAAAAGAAACCTCCTGCCAATACCTCATAAATAATTGTCAAACAAAATTCAAACTGTAAGGTCGTGAAATTTTCACGAGTACTACTATTATTATATATCTGAATACCACTTGAGATTTAGAAAAATCTTGTGACACACTAGCTGTTCAAAGCACCGGGTCCTCGTAGAGGGTCAAACAATTCTTCGGGACAATAGAAGACTCAGGGTTTGAACGTCTATGACTAAACGAGGCTCGCTTGATTTTTTTAGGTATTGAAAGTTGAAGTCAATTTTCCCCTGTTGAGCTGTGAGAGCTCGGTCAGAGGAGTGATCAGCTGAAAGGCTCCCATCGTCTTTCTTTTATATTCAGTGGAGGAACCTTCTCGCTGAATATGTTGAGTAGTTCGGGCATCACGTGGGTATTATTCTGCTGTAGCAGAAGAAGATTCAACAATGATATGGGCGTAAATGGCACTCTTTAACTGTCCTTCCCCATGCACCAAAGATGAGCGAGAGTTGGATCTATTTGTCGTGGGTGAATATATTCTGCCAGATATTTCTCCGAAGTTTTGTATCGCTCACCCAAAGGTCATAATTTGAACGAGAGCAACACCTGCTCTCGCCGTTCCGTTCACTGATTGAGTCTCACCGGAAACTATGAGACGTGCATAATGGCGTTGTGGCAGAAAATGGAAATTTAGCTTTGAATTGTTACGAAAACGAGATTTATATGAAAAAAGAGGTTTGCAATAATCAAAAACTCATTGTTAGTTCTAGTCTTGTTGGGAATGATTACAAAATACTTTTCCCTTCCTTAATTGATAGACAGAAGCACAGAGATGCATGCTGGGATTTCTTTCTGGCCAATAAAATAAGCCGGCCCTTGGTCTCAGTACCAATCTGTCTTGTCTTGCAGTCAGAATACTACGTTGGCTTGTCCAAATTTGCTTTCGTTTGTCAACATCAATTCTTAGTTTGTGCAGTTTTTGCCATATTTCGGTTGTTTTGCAATTAATTTGCCTTACATATATTGTTTGGTTGTTTTAGATTATTTTTTTTGCCATGTTTTTTTTTCTTTTTCTTGTTATTGCTTCTTACAAACTTTGTCAATTTTGTTTGTTGGACAGTTCTATTATTTATTTTACATTTAACCATGACCGCTCACTCCACAAGTATGAATGGTTAAAATAGTCTATCTAAGGCAGTGATGCCTTAGTCCTCTTCAAAGTACTTTTCTTGGGACCATCACGCACTTAAATTAGTGCATCTTAGTAATCATATCAGAGTTTTTCAAAACAATTTGTAACATAATTTTTTGGAATCACCATCAGCTGCTTTGACACTTTCACCATAATCTCATCCATGGGTGGAAATTTTCTTTCAATCATGATTTTAACTTTTTTATGATTTTGTTGGTTTCAATCTGATTTGGAAAGCCCTTTATTATCCCCAATTTATAGGCAGAAGCACACAAATGGCTTGGTTTCATCTGACTCAGTCCAGGTCTGTCTTCTCTTGAAGTAAGAAAGCTATATTCGCTTGTCCGAACTTGCTCTTGTATGTTAACCCCAATTCTTAGTTTGTGAACTTTTTACCATATTACTGTTGCTTTGCTTTATTACTGTTAATTTGCATTGAATATGTTGTTTGCTTGCTTCATATTATTATTTTTTTGCCCCGTCTTTTTCTTGTTATTACAAACTTTGTCAATTCTGTTTGTTGGGAAGTTCTGTCCTTTTTTTTTTTTTACATTTAACAATGGCCACTCATTCTGCATTGATGCTGAAAGCAAACCGCCTGCATACGGATGAAAAATGAATTAAGAGAAGCTATACAAAAATAAAAGCGGGCGTGAGACAAGAATGTGCCTTCTCCCCGAGGTTTATTCAATCTCGACAGCGTCATTCTTAATGGAACAGGAGGCTCTAACAGGATTTATTATCGGTTGATTTGATCTAAACAATATAAGATACGCGGATAACACTGTGTTGATCGCAGATTCCGGAAGGAAATTACAAGACATCCGAGATAAAGCGAGAAAAAAGGACTAACTATCGACTGGAAAAAGATCGAAAGTCTGGTTATCAACAAGAGAAAAAGTCCTTGATGCTAATTACGAATTTCAGATTGTCATAACCCGAGCGGTTATAGTATTATGTTTTGCTTAGGATACTCGCCGTGGCGTCATTAGAATTCTTCCAGGGGCTGACCCCACCGGGCTGGTATTTAGCCAGTCTTCCCATTGAGACGAGATGTGAAACAAGGTCGAGTTTACTGTGGGGAAATCCAGCACGTACGCTCGATTCAAAGGTCAAAATTTATCCAATTCCCCGCAACAGCGGGATCGAGCATTTTGCTTTGTCTATCAATCTCTGTTAACTGTTGGGGACCCGAACGCGTACAATGGGGCCGAT